TTAGCTGGTTGAGCCATAGGCGCCGAGCCACATGGTGCATTTTCAAGGACATCTGGCACTGATGATATAAATATCACCTCTAATTGTAACATATCAATATAACGGAATACCATGAAGCCATTAGAAAAATGATGCAGATCTATATTAATTGACATGGGAAAATATCCACAAAGCAAAGTGAAGAAGCAGATCACGATGAAGTATATCATACTTAATTCTACAAATAAAGTGAATCCAACATGAGCTGGAAGAATAAACCAAGTCGTTCTATTTGGGTAAGGGCTGAAGGTAATTTTCACTTCTGAGGTCACTGTGGCCTGCTCAGAGTTTAGACTAGACTTCAACATGCTGCTTTTGGAAGACCGTTCCCGCGACAGGGAAACAGTGAGGACCTAGCTCCAGGTGTCCGGCCTCTGCATCTGACAGAGCAAAGAGCAAGCACGCAAACATGGATGTGACCGCAAGGAGGCAGCAGAGACCCATCTGCAACTCTTAGCAGCCTTCAGCTGGGACAGTTCAATAACCAAGTTGTTCGGCCACGGGAACGTTCAACGCTGGAACGTAGGCAGAGGCAAGCCCTGGGTTCACATCGCGCCTCGGCAGTCGCTCAGAGGATTGACTTGTGCGTGTGGGGTCTCCTCTCAGAACCTCTATTCCCATCTTTAAATGAGTGGAAGGCCACCCACAAGATGCCCTCAGGGAATCCACATGCGTGCAACCTAGGGCAGGGCTACACCGCCCAGCCTTCTCGCACTGACTTCCCCGGAAGAGCAAAGCCCACGTCAGAGCCAGGTAGGAACTGCACCTTCAAGCAGGAACCTGGGATCCTCTCAGCAGGGACTCTGACCTCAAACCAGGGAACTGATAATCCTCTGGTCTCTCTGTGGGGAGCACTTCGTTGTTTATTTCAGACCACCAAGAACTGGCACTAGCACAGGTGAAAATAATGGCAAACTTTATTGGCATAAATCACAGGAATTGAAATGGGAAAAGCCAGGTTAGATGTTTACAGAGGAAAAAAATAACCAAAATGAAATTATCAAATAACCATTGACCCAGACTGTGAACCCAAGTCCCTGTTGGGGAGGGACCTAGGGCAGGTCACTGTAAACAGAGCAGTAAGGCCTGTGGGTGGAAGTGGAGACATTGGAATCTGGAGGGGCCAGAGAGACCTCCCCAGACCTGGGTTGCACCCAGCTCAGCCCAAAAGGAGGGACCCTCTTCTCTGCCAGGAGGCTAGTGAGGTCGTCTGGGTCTTTCTCACATTAGGCCCTTGGGGGGGTGCCCTTCCTTAGACCAAGAACTTCAGGCCTGGCTACTTCTGTTTCATCCTCAGGAAAGGGCTCTGCGGACTTCCTGTGGCCCAAGCAGGATCCCGGGCCTCTGCTCAAAACGCTATCAGACCTCCTAAGTGTCCATCCCACTTGTAAGAGGTGAAGAACCTGTACTCAGTTTCCAGGAAGGGCGGATGTGGGGAAGTGATATGCCCAGTAGAATCAACAGACCAAAGAGACTTTCATAGTCCTTGTGAAAGGACTCACAATTATACACCAGCTTTCCCGAGAAGGCAGAAGAGAGTTCCAGAGAAGCAGTGAGGAGAGAACTTTTAGTGGGTTCTCTGTTGCCAGAAAGTCCCCTGAGGAACAGAGGCTTCCAATGGCTTACTCAGACAAGCAGCAGCCCCCAAAGTGTCCTTCCCCTTCTTCCTCAGGAGCAGAACAGATGAGCTTGAGAATTCTAGGCCCAAGTGGGAAAGACACCCTTAGACCAGTTTCAGAGCTTGCTAGCCTGGGCAGTAAGGAAAGGGTTTCACAATACAGCAGTTTATAAAACAGTCCTGGTGAGCTGTGAAGTGAAAAGAAGGGGAGTCATGAAACTGCTCCCCGTTTACCTGCTTGTGCTAAGAAAAAAATAAAACATAAATTGCTTCCCCACCCCAAGCCCTCGGTACAAAGCAAACTCCATGCCAAGGCTGTCGTCACTGACAAGCCCAATGGCGGTAGACAAGGAGGAGAGTACAAAAAGGGAACATCTTTAAAATCTCTTCAAAATCATTTTGTATAGAGAAGTAAAAGCAAGTCAGGTGATATGAATTCAAACCTCAGTGTAGAAATCTATCAAAGTCGGTACAGTGTCCAGGCATGGGTAATAACCCCACCTCACGCCAGCCCCGAGACGGAAGAAGTGACTATAAAACCTTATTGCTGGAGAGGCCTTTCTCAGTAGAAACAGAACAGGTATAAAAGGGGAGCTTGTGGAGGGGGTTTGGGTATTGGGGGCAATCACCCTGGCCCAGGGAGGCTGGAAGTACGAGAGGGGCACAGGAAACCTTCCATGGCCCCTTGACTCTCCCACCCTTGGATGTATGGATTTATGCTGGCATTGTCTGGAGGGAGCCAGGTGTCCCCTAAGACTCTCAGAACAAGGACAATTAGGTTAGGGGACAAATAAGGATAAAGAGAGACCCCATATGGCCCTGCCTACCCTCTCCACCCCACCCTACCCCTGGCTCCACTGCTGAAATAATAAGAGATGGCTCCAGTGTGGGTGCTGGCTGGGTCAAGCCAGTTCATGGGGACATACACGGGGTAGGGTGGACCCTCCTGCCTCCCCACTCAGGGAAGATGAAGAATGGACAGCCTGGGAAGGGCTGTAGGAGGAGGAAGGAGGCCCAGATGCTCTGGCAAAGGTGAAGATGAGCAAACAGGACCCCTCATGGCCTCTTCCCATCCTGCACCAGCTGAGGACAAGGGTTCCAGTTTCAGTCTGATTTGCCCCCTTCACCCCCAGGTGAGGTCTCTGGATCACAGTAGCAGTTGGGGACACTGGCTGGGGAAGGGAGGCTGAAGAAGGGAATGGGGCACCTAGCAGAAGAGCTTGAGGAAGCAGTTCTGACAGTAAGGCTTGTCATTCTGCTCCTTGAAGGTGCCCTTGTTGAGCTGCTTGAGGCAGAAGGCACAGACGAAGTGCTCCGGGTGGAACTTCTTGGCCATGGCGGTGATGCAGCGGCCTGTGATGGGCTTCTGGCAGCCAGAGCACAGCGAGCCGCGCCGCTCGTGGTAGTGCACCTCGCAATAGGGCTGCCCGTCATGTTCGAAGAAGCTGCCATTGACAAATGGTGTGAAGCATTCCTGCAAGGTGCAAGAGTGGGTGGGGTGGGAGAAAGGGCTCAGTGCTCTGACCCTTCTGGCTGGGGCAGCACAGAGTGTGACAGGCCAGAGAGTCCTGGTTGGTAAGTCATGATGACTTTGCTAGGCTTTTCCTATGTGCCAGGTGCTGGGGTTATTCAGTTCTCCCAGGGGAGGCAACTGAGGAGGACAAATGAAGCGATTTGTCCAAGGTCACACAGCTGCCAAGCTGCACGGCATGGACTCATAGATAAGTCTGACTCCTGGGCACGTAACCATGTGGCTATACCTGTGTTCCCAGAAACACTGGTGCTAAATAAAAAGGGTCTGTGGAGCGGCGTCAGTGGCTCAAGGAGTAGGGCGCCGGCCCCATATACCGGAGGTGGCAGGTTCAAACCCAGCCCCGGCCAAAAACTGCAAAAATAAAAAAGGGTCTGTGGTCAAACTTGGCATTCTAGATTCTTGTTTGGAGAGTCACATGTACATTTAGGTATAAAGGCTCTGAAAAGTTCTGCACTGAATAATGTTTCACAAACTTAATTGGACAGAAGGCATTTGCTAAATCCCTAATAACATCTGTGGGACCCCATGACCCTCCTCACAATACACAAATGCCCATTTCTGTGGAGTCTGCTATATATTTGCATTATCTCATTTAATTCTTACACACTCCAGTCCAGAATATGACCCGTCTCAGGGCCACTGCACAGGATGAGGCTGGGGGATATGTCTCCCTTGCTCCTGGTTTGTTCCAGCCTCAGTACAAGCTCTGGCCCAGGACCTATCAAGACTTAAGGAAATATACCACCTCCCTGCTCAGGCCATTAATAACCCCAAAGGAGGCCTCCAAGTTGAATCTAGAGAGCACAATGAAGAAAGCCTGCTCCCCACTGCCTGCTCCCAGCCCTGTCTAGGGGTGGGGGACTCCTTACCCGGCACACAAAGCACTCAGGATGCCAAAGTGTGTTGAGAGCTGAAATGTAGTTCTCTAGGATGGCCCGGGCACAGCCACCACACTTGGGCGCGAACATGTCAAAGTAATCCTTGCGGCAATAGGCCTTGCCATCTTTCTCATGGAACCCTGAGGAGCAGGGGTTTGGGAGGCAGAGTTTAGACTTCCAGAAGTAGAGTCACCCTGACTCTAACATCAATGGTCTCCCACCTCCCCAGGTCTCCTGGAGGTGGTAAGTCAGTCTCTCTGTCTGTACCTTCGGGACCAAAGAAGGCTCCACACTGGGCACAGAAGAAGTGCTCAGGATGCCACGTCCGGTCAAGAGCTGTCACCACTTTCTGTGAAAGTAAAGTAGAGGATCAATACCAAGCTGCCGCCCAAGTGGACAGATCCTACCACTGAGACTCAATGATAGGCAAAGAAAGAGAAAAACACTACCAAGATCAGGGTCTCTCCTAATTGGGCTATGAATATCCTTAAGAATTCAGATTTAGGCTCAGTGCCTGTAGCTCAAGCAGCTAAGGCGCCAGCCACATACACCAGAGCTAGTGGGTTCGAATCCAGCCCTGGCCTGCCAAACAACAA